CATTGCACGATAATATATTAACAACACACAGACACACACATACACAGACACAGACACACACACAGACACAGACACACACACACACATATATATATATATATATCCACAGACGATGACAACAACAAAAATAATAAGAATGTTTATGATAATGATGTTTAAGGATTTTTAATAATAAATAATGATAATAATAATAATAATAATAGTAATAATATTGATTGTCTGAAAATTATTTGAACGTAATTTGGATTGATAATTAGTACTTGATTCCTATGGACATACGTTTTACTAGCAATAAATAATATACTCGATTTAATAATATTAATAAATATAAATATATAATCAACTATTATGAATATGAAATATAATTTGGTTAGTTACGCTATATAAGCCCTATTACCAGTTAATAACGTGGAAGTTTATAAAAAAAATCTCTTTACCCAACAGTGTCATCATTTAGTGATGAATTTCAAAACAAAATAAGGAAGAACTGTTTTACATATTTATCGAATTTATTGGATGATATTTATCGAATGTGTGTAAAATATAATTTTTTGTTCAAATGACATTTCGTTCATCTGAATATTCAACTGATGACGTTGTAAATTAATCAATTATTCAATTTTTTAACTATGTATTTACTGAATATTTTAATTTTCATTTAATTATTTATACTTTATCTTTTCAATCATTCGAATATTTAACCAATATACTTGTAAATCAATTTGTAAACTTGTAAGCCAATTTGTAAACCACTTTGTAAACTTGTAATCCAACCAATTTTTCAATCATTTAGCGATGTATTCAATAATTTTTGCCATTTTTCCTTTATTTAATCATTCTTACAAAAACTTTTTTAACATTTAAGTCAGTCAAATTATTTATAGAATAACAATTGATCGAACGTTTGATAGTTAAAATAGTTATCTAATTAAATTTGTCGTTAATAAACTCTAAAAAATGTCTTTCATTCTTGCCCCATTAAGTGTAATTTTGGTATCAAATCATAAATCTCATCATAAACATTGTCATTGTACGTTTAAAAGATGCCAACAACAAACTTGTCTAATATAACCTGTTCGCTTTTCAGTTTTCGTAATATTTAGAACTCAGCAAAACGGCCCAATAGAATTTAAGTTTCCTTTTAAACCTAGCCACCGCCGTAATCAACTCCCTCCATCATCATTCTACCGCTGCTACAAACCATCCCGACCATCATCTCTACACCATTATTATTATTTATATTATTATTATTTATATTATTATTGTTGTTGTTGTTGCCATTCAAACAATTCTGCTGCGATGGAACGTCACGACATGACGTAATCAACTCGTCATGATTGACAACGTTAGCTCCTCCTCCTGCCCCATTAATTCCACCCATGACATTTCCACCATTACTACTTAAGCCATTCCTACTACTTCCACTGTTGCCACTAACTTTTCTACAATCGCCACCACCAATACCGCCGCTGGCAACGCCACAAACGCCACTACTGCCGCTGCCGTCAATGTCGTCGTCGTCATCGTCGTCGTCGTCGCAAGGCGAGCGAAGCGATCCAAAGCAGCCGATTTTTGTTTTTTCAATTTCATTCAATTCTCTGATTGCCTGGACCTCTTTTTTCTCCTTCATTCTTCTGTTCTGAAACCAGATTTTGATCTGTCGTTCGGTGAGGTAGAGGGTGTGGCTGAGTTCGATGCGACGACGTCTGGTGAGGTAGCGATTGAATTTGAATTCCTTCTCGAGCTCCAGGGTCTGATAGCGGGTGTAGGTCTGACGGCCCCTACGACGTTGGTTCGAGTTGGGACCTGTCAGTTATGGTGATGATTGTGATCATGATTTTCCGTGATGATGATGATGATGATGATATGATGATGATGATTGTGATCATGATTTTCCGTGATGATGATGATGATTGTGAGGATGTTTGTCTGTGATAATGATGATGACGACGATGATTGTGGTGATGTTTGTCTGTGGTAATGATCACCTTGAATTTGTTAATGATAATGGTGGCGAATGTTTGTTGTTTTAAAGTAATCAAACTTAGAAATAATGTGATGAAGATGTTTGCTATCACATGATGACGTCAAACTAACGATAGAATATTATTTTTTTCATTTTTCTCGCTAGAGCTCGCTCCTCGTTTATGACATCATCATCGTCGCCATCATCATCATCTACTTGTTTTATGACAACTATCATAAATTCGTATATTTAAACATTGAAATAATTATAAAATTTACTAACAAAATAAAAAAATATCCACAGAGAAGCCACAAAAAAAACTAGAGACATGTTGAGCATAGAACAAATGAACAAACAAATGAAGAAACAAACGAACAAACTAATAAACAAAAAGAACGAAAAAATAAAAAAACGAATGAACAAAAGAGCGAATGAACAAACAAACCAATGAACAAGTGGATAAACGAACGAGCAAAACAAAAAAAAAGAATGATGGAATGAAAGAGAGGCTAGGAAAGAAAGAAAGCTTCGGAG